TCTTATGAGAACGGCACCCTACTTTTTACCTGCATGTCAAATAAGTACTTGTTACATCCTAATACACGTTGTGTCATAGGTCTATTCTCTTTACTGAACAATTTTAGCTATTTTGAAATAATACCTAGACACAGAAATTAAGGGATATTAAAAAAAATCACAAAATATTGGGTGATTTTCAAAGAGCTGTAACTTAGAGGCAAATGGTCGTAGAGAGAATCAAAGAACAATGAAATTGAAGCTTCAAGTTTCTAGTTTTCGGATGTGAGGTTTAAATTTTTTTAGCGTCAGCAGTTTTTGAGTAATTATAAGAAAATCAACGAAAAAAAATTGCAAATTTTTGCTTTTGTTTAAAAAGGCCTATGGACTTTTTTGGTAATTTCACCATAGAGCTCTTTTAGATCATTTAATTCTCATCGATTCGAGCGTTTCCGGAGCCTTGTACGATTTATTTGTCGGTGAGTTATCGTCGATCAAAGCAAAAAGATTATTTTTGACTTTGGCGATCAGTTACTCGAGAAATAATGGTCGTACAGAAAATCCAAGCAGGGTTTTGAAAACTGCAAAGTATTCTCTACAAGTCGTATAATTATTGTTTTGTGATAAAAAAAAAAAATTTCAAATTGAAAATACTGGTTGGAAAAAAGGTAGAAAATTGCATAATTAGGGATATGTATTTGAATAACTTGCAAATAATGAATAAATTAAGTAGTAACTTTTCTGTTTCTGTAACTTTTCAACCTCAACGTGTCGTAAAGAAACCCTGATAATTTCAAAACGCTGCGATTTTTTTCCCTAGTGCTTTAAATTTGTCGTTTTTGCTGAAAATCAATGTAATAAGTTATTTTTCACTTTTCATTCATTTTTTTTTAAGTTAAAAATGTTTCTTTGTTTAGCAATAATCCATATTTTCTTCATGAAAGTACCAAAAAGAAAGTTTTGAAGTGCATAGGCCTTTTTGAAAAAAAGCACAAATTTTCAATTTTTTTTTTCCTTACGGTTACTCAAAAACTGCTGACGCTAAAGAATTTCATACTCCAGATCTGAAAACTAGAAACTTGAAGCTTCAATTTCCTTTTTTTATTCTCTCTACGACCATTTGTCTCCAAGTTACTAGCTCTTTGACAATCACCCAAAATTTTGTGATTTTTTTTAATATCCCTTAATTTCTGTGCCTAAAATATTTTTGTTTTATAAGTATAAAAAATCTATATGCTGTTATTTTTTATCAAATCATTGCTCAGGTCTATTAGTCGACTTTTCCACGATTTTTCGGGATTTTCAACCATTTTTTGCGATTCCCTCAAATCCTGTGGGTGTTAAAGTAAAACTAAAAACGAACTAAATACACCACATTTTAATGCTTTTTCAGTTCTGCTCACGACGACATACGACATTTTAAATTTTGGTATGGATCTGACAATAAAATCATCACTTAAAGAATAAGACAAAATATCAATGAATGAAAGAATGCTACTTCGAAAAATTCTTATTCAAGGCCCAAACTACACGTACCATAAATATAAAAAATTACAAAAATCCGACTACCTTACATTCTCCTTGTCAGAAAAAATGTTCAAAGTTTACAACTCGAAACGATTAATTTTACACGGTACTAACTTATTAAGTTGACAAAATTTAATTATTTAATGGCCGAATAATAAATGAGACAGACCTAAAAAAAATTCTTAATACGTAATATTTATGCGGTAACATTGACTTAATGCCATTTTCTGTATCTCATTTAAAAGGTTCAGGGAGCAATTTGCAAAATACGACTAATTATAGACAAAAACTTGGGACGAACCACAGATCATAGAATAAAAAAGGATCCCACTCTGGAACCAGTCTCATAAAACATATTGAAAGACGATTTATTGAGAATTTTTTGAAAAAAAAGGCTACTCTTCTTCAAACAACACTTTTTTGGTTTAAAAATCAAAAAATACATCAAAAAAACTAAAACTGTATAATTTGTATATATTTTTTTATAAAACTACATATCAAAACGACGAAAAGAAAGAAAATCATTTATATCTTAAGTTTTTGCCACGTTACAGGCATTTGACATTTTTTTTCCCTAAAATATTTAAAACATAACATCTTGAGGGGTTGAAATAAAAATTTGAAAAAATCGTGTAAACTACTCTAAATGGATTCTCATTTAATTGTAAGTCGCATGTACAACGAATACGCGCATTTAAGGATGGAAACTGATGCATTTCTGGTTGCCTAAATTATACCGAAAAATGGTAGAAAACAGCCCTTTTTTTATTCCAATATATCTTTTTAAAGCAATGGAAGAAAGTAGTAAAATTTCATATCACATTTGGCAAAGTATAAATGAAGACAGTAAAGCAAACATTAATTGGGATAGGTAAATAATTCGTGAGAAATTAATTTCTAAATATGAAGGTTTTTTGGACTTTTACAAAGAAACGATTATTTCTTCATAGTATTATAGAATTATGCAATTTTTTATATAGTTGTCTTTAAATAAATAAACTGATTAGACTTTATTTCATAGTTTGTTCATCACTTTATTATTTAAAAAGTTATATTGGAATAAAATTATTAAAAAATATTCATTCATGAATAGCATTATCTCCGACTTTTAATTCGCTTGATTTGTAATAGATGTCGCACTAGTAAAAATTTATTTATGAATGGACTCGGGTTATTTTTAACGAACAGCTGTTGTATGTGGTTAATTTGGTATAACCTGATTCTGAATTGGTAGTCATGGTTTCTGTTAATTGATACGTAAATATTTAAAGAATGTCATGATCATTTTAGATATATTTTTGTATAAAAGTATATAAGTAACAGTGCAAGTCCATACTATTATATAATTTTAGAAAATATGAAATATAAACAATTTTTAGTTTATTTAAAACCATAATTTATAATTAATATACCTATATTAGTATCTACGGTTAGTGGATAAGAGGGAAAACATTTTTATTTTCTATTCTACTAGAAAAAGTAATTCGTGACAAAAAATATTTTGCTTTTTAATTGAATACGTTTGTCATGAAAAACTGTAATAAATATATATACAGGGTGATCAGAAATTTAACAAAATTAATAACGTTGAAGAATAAACTGCTTTTGTTTTTGATAATATAAAAAAAATGTTAATAAGAAAAGTTGTTCATAACGGAAAGTTACGTTATAATTACGATTTGTGAATAAAGCGGCTTACTTTGGTATAAACAGAAATGGAAAATATTATATTTTTAATAATTAATATTAAGTAATTCTTGATAAAAAAAATTTGCATATTAATATAAATAGAATTTTAATTGTGAATATACATAATAATGAGAAAATATAAAAAATATGTACGATATACTTATTTTGTCCAAAAAATGTGTAAAGAATTATGTACAAAAGGACGATTTGAGTCTAAATTTTTTTTATGAGAAATAGGTAATTCAGTTCACTTCAATTGAAAAAATAGTTGTCTTATAGGTACTTTAATACCTCCAATATAAACAGAAATTCTGTGGAACAGTGTAGTTTAATAAATATGTAAATAAATGAAAGTAATAAAGAAATAAATAGAATAGGTACAGTAGAACAGGAAAAAATTTAAAAAATCATAAAATAAAATTATTTCTTTTTATTAATTTGAGCTTCTATAATATATTCTGGATCCATACATCTTTTTCCCTGTGGAATATTTTTGTATATTATTTCTGGTAGTATACAATTTTTATAAAATTGTTCCAAATTTGTTGCCATTGATTTTTTCCATAATTCTTCATCTTTCTTAATTTGTTCTACATAGAGCGGGTTGTTTTCACCACTATAGGTATATTACGAAATAACATATAGACTTCTTCCGGTTATATTTAACTGTCTCTGTATCTGAAAGTAAGAAAAGAATTTTACCAGATAATATTTGTTATAAACATAGATAATTATACATTTTTACCTATTATGCTTTTGATTTACCATAATGATATATCTAGTCATATATAGGGTGCCACAATAGTGCGATAAAGTTTAGTATAACTGCCTGTAGTAGTGATACGAAAAAAGTTACTTGCTCGGATTCACATTTTATTATTATTTCCATTATTCATTATTTTCAGACCGAATTAAACGTTCAGAAAATCTTGTTTTTGGCCTGAAGATTTTGCCCTATACAACTATAACTGAAAATAATTATAAACTTTGTCACACTATTGGAACAGCCTGTATGTGCATTGCAACGACAATATGTCATATTTATATTACGGCTAAGTAAGCGGAAAGTCCATTGTCGCATATGTAATTTTTATTTTCAAATAATCAAATACAATACCTACATATTTATTTTAATATCTATTATTTACTTGAATTTAGTACTAAGTACAACTATGCCTAGCAAATTGTAATACTTACTCTGTTAATGTTTTTTCCTTCATATAAAAAATAGTAAACTCCACAAATAAAATATTTCGCAGCCACAACGCAACAATAAAAGATAACAGCTCAAAGATCCATACAAGAAATAATTACATTCGCACCTACTCTGGTCCGAATCCATATAAGTACTAAAATGTAGAAAATAATATGAAATAAAACTTTTAGTTGGCTGCAAATATTATAAATTTGTACAACCACTTGCCATCCTCCTTTTTTGTAAATATGTACATAATAATATGTAGAAGATAGAAAATAGAAATATTTTCAGAACAAAAAACCGGCGGCCGCAAATTGGAGTTTTTATTATTTTATTACCCTTCTCTTTTCATATGCAATTATGAGATAGCAAGAGAGTGGGATGGACGTATAGGCCGGACAACTCATTATCGTGCACGTGTGCGTGCACCTGGCATTTTCTCGTTTTTTTTAGGTGTGTTTTGCCGGAATTTGAATGAATGAAATAATCGTACTATTTTTACTATAAACGTATTTCCTGTAGCGACATCTATATGAATATTGTAGTACTTTGTTGGATGAAACGGGACTTCAATTTCCGTTCTTAAAGTAAATTTACCTTTTTTAAGATCGTATCCATGGCGTCTTGCACCACGAACTGCCTAGCGCCGTTGGCGAAGGTGATCCATGACAAATTCGGCATAACAGAGGCCCTCATGACGACCGTGCACGCCGTTACGTTGTCCCAGAACATCATAGACGGCGCCAAGGACAAAAACTGGAGACTGGGAAGGAGCGGTATGACCAACATCATCCCCTCGACCACCGGTGCCGCAGCTGCAGTAGGCAAGGTCATTCCAGAACTTCAGGGCAGACTCACAGGTTAGTTGAACCCTATACAATAAAACAAATCATCACATCACCCACCTGTGCCTGCGTGAACTCCTTTCCGCGTTGCTGACGATGCTTTTCCCCCAGGTATGGCCTTCAGGGTGCCCATAGCCAACGCCTCCGTGGTGGACCTCACGGTACGGTTCTGCAAAGAGACCGACTACGACACCGTCAAGTGCGAGATCCGGCAGGCCGCAGAGAACGAGATGCGCGGCATCCTCTGCTACACGGAGGAGGACATAGTCTCCACGGACATCATCGGCAGCGGGTGCTCGTCCATCTTCGACGCCAAAGCGGGCGTCGTCCTCAACGGCAACTTCATGAAGCTGATCAGCTGGTACGACAACGAGTACGGCTACTCCAACAGGATGGTGGACCTGGTGGCCTACATGCACAAAATGGACTCGGAGGAGGAGTGCTCGGAGAAGAAGAAGGAGGATATGTGCGCCGGAGGGGATAAAGGGAAGGGTAGACCTCCTGCGAAGAGTGGGGGTAGCGCTCCTGCGAAAAGTCCGAGCCCTCCGGCAAAGAAACCGAGCGCTCCCGCAAAGAAGCCCAGTGGTCCGGCGAAAAGTCCAGGAAAGGGTTCTGGGAAGGGGAAGAAGTGACACTTTACGTATTAAATGTTTTTAGAGGAAAATGTAAACAGAAAATGTAGACAGAAGTAAAGACAAATGTACACTATACAAATTTTATTGAAATATATTGATATATAAATCTTGGCAGTTTTAAGTTTTTTTTCAAAAATTGTCGTGAAATGCTGACAAGTGCCAAAAACTTGTGACTGTGACTTTAAAAACAAGAAAATTTCTCTTTACATCAGTTGGTTACGGAAAAAAAGTTTTGCAAATCCAACTCTATGACAAATTTTGACAGATCGTAGCTGGGTTAATTTGAAACTTTTTTTCTTATATGAATATAGGTCTAATTCGTTTTGTTTAAAAGTTACAAGCATTTTAAAAAAATATAATTCCATATTTCAATCAAAGTAGCCTGACAAATAAAAATGATGGTTGCTACAACAATAATTATTATTTTTATAATTTGGGTTATTTATTTGACATTTAACTTTAAAGTGCTAAATAAAAAGTACATTTATTTACAACTGAAGGGTACGCAGATAATCAGTAGAGAGCGGACAATGTGTGTCTTTAACCCGAAGAATAGGTCAAATTTTGGTAGAGATGTGTACGCGTTCAAAAATGTATTGCGTATAAACTATGCAAAATATAATTATTATGTATAGCAAATATATCGTATTATCCTCGCGAAGATTTGTACCCTTTATTTAAAATCCATAAATCATGTGAACAGGTTAAATAACGAGAAAATAATTAAGTTAATTTAGTTCTAAAGAAATGAAATGACACTCGCGCCCATCTCTAGTC